AAGAAAACAAATCATACATATGGCAATAAAAACTTATATTAATAACAAACTTTAAACTAAATATAAAGCATACACAATAATAATAATTCATACAATAATTTTTTTTTTTTTTGAACATGGGGGAATTTTTGGAGAATGGCGGATTTTTTTCAAGTCATTAATAGAAATCGAACTCTCGACCAAATAAATCCAAATGCTAAGGTTTAAGGACGAATCATTGAACTTAAAGAATTGTCCCATACAAGAATTCTTCTTTTTTTCAAACCAAATACATAAATATATGCTTATAAGCTTATCACTTTACTTGTTAAATTAGGTGCTAAATATAATTTTCTAAGCATTTAAGTAAATATTAAATTTTAAAAATTATATTTAAAAATTTTTAAATTAAGTATTAAATGTAGCCCATCCATGCAAAATATGTAGGACTAAAATCGCACTCCTACGCCTCACCAAAAACTTGAATGTGAGATGGGACGGAACCTGGCGAGACGCCCAGAATGAAATGGTCCAAGCCCAAATGCCCAGCAAATTTATCCCGCCAAAAAATCCAAAAAAAAAAAGGAAAATTATCTCGACAGTCCACACACACACACACACACAAGTTGCTCATGAAACTGGTGGACCTAGGGTTTTCTCCGCATACACCAGAAATGAATGAGGAAAAACATTTGGGAAAGGGCAAGGAGGTAGAGGTCACTAGCAACGAGGAAGGCTTTAGGGGCGCCTGGTACTTGGCTGTTATTCTGAAATCCCCTCCAAAATCCACTTCAAAGAAGCGGAAAGAATCTGGCGTAGCCAAAGTCAGGTACAAGACTCTGCTCACTGAAGATGGGTCCGCTCCTTTGACCGAGATGGTCGACCCCGCTCTCATTCGGCCTCTGCCACCTCAGCAGGTGGATGCTGAGATGGTGTTTGAGGTAGGCGAAACTGTTGATGCCAGGTACAGGGATGGGTGGTGGACTGGGATTTTGAGGAAAGTTTTGGAGAATTCCAGGTACAGGGTTTATTTCGACAATCCACCTGATGTTATTGAGTTCGAGAGGAGTGATTTGAGGTTGCACTGGAAATGGGTTGATGGCAAGTGGGTTCGACCTGAAAAGCAGGTATGTCATGTAGATTTTTGTTGATCTAGGGTTTTGAGTGTAGTTCTTTCTTCTTTTTGTTTTGAAGTAATTAGTCATTTTATCCTGAGACGGAGCTCTTTTCAGGGCTTTGGAGAGTGCTTTTCCTTGTTTATGAGCTCAGAATTGCCGTTTAGATGGGTTTGAGCTCCGGTTATTGTCTGGTTTTTCTTTCTTTGTAATTGAAGAAGTAGCTGATCTGTTTCGCAAGTGGATGTCACGTTGTGGAGAAATTAGATTTTCATTTGCATGTTGTTTAACACCACAATATATGCTATTATAGCTGAGGATGCCTCTTATTTATATGGTAAAAGCCAAATAAAAATATGTGATGATTAGGGCCTATGTGATTTAGCTTGAGTAATCTATTTTAGCTGCTCAATTCTTTCTGCATGCACTTGCTGTAAATGAGGAAGAGGATGAGATTGAGAAAATCGGTGCTTGTTTATATTATAAGGAGGATGCTGTGAGAAGAAATTTTATTCCTACTTCTTAAATTCTTAAATTTTATGGTGAAAGAAACTAGCAGGCTGTTTTGCTGTCTTTATATCATAGGTAAAATTGAAGATCTCTTTTATACCATATGAGTGATTTTATTTTCTTAATTTTGTCATTAAAGCAATCCACAGGATCCATTTTTAGCTCAGGCACAGCTGTGGAGGTGAATCTTGATATAGAGAACTTACGTGATGTTTGGATCCCTGCTATTGTTGTTAAAGAAAATGGGGACAACAGGTTTTTGGTCAAGTATCAGGCATCAAGGAACAGTGATGAGTCTGCGATAGCAAAAGTTATTGTAGACTCACTTCATATCAGACCAACTCCACCTCGTTTTGTTGACATAAATTATGAGTTGCTTGAAAAAGTGGATTGTACATATAATTTTGGTTGGCGAGCTGGAGTAATTACCAAGGTTCTCTCTGGAAGGAAGTATAATGTATTTTTTAAGCATGGAAATGAGGATAAAGAACTTACTCATTTGGAATTAAGACCTCATGTTGAATGGATTGATGGAAAATGGGTTGGTAAATCCAAGGTATGATGTCTTTCCCTTATTTGCGTCTTTAGGGGGCAAAATATCATGTCCATGTTTTCTCCCTGTAAATTCGAATGAGCTGTTTCTGTTGTTTTGTGGTCTTCCAAACATAACCGTAGCATAATTTCCAAAAGAATTAGATTGTTCCAATCTTTAAGCAGATTACCTGTTATGTCCTGCTATGAACATTTTTATATTTTCATTTTTTTAAAGAAAGAGCTTATATCTCATGTCTTATCTCCTTTATGATCTTATTTGTAATGTACTTTCTATAAAGGTGTTCAACATCAATTTGTTTAAGTTTTGTGCTTTACATTGATTTATAATATTACTGAGTATCTACTGGAGCAACCTATTTATTGATTTGAACCAGCAATGGCATTGGTGCTGTATGAGTTCCCAATAGCTAAGTTTGCTTTGATGAATTGATGTGGCCTTAACAGTATTGGAATTGTTTAGTGCAGTTTCTTTCTTTAGAAAGTCTAGTGCAAGCCTTGATGGTTGCAAAGTTACTTCAAAAGTTTGAGCAGCACAGAAGTGTACTTGAGTGTCGTTGATTTATTGTAGGCTTAACTATCAGCTTCTATTTCAGGAAATCTTCATTGCTTCCAATGAGCCAAAGCTGTTAGGAAATGCTCAAGATGGTGCCTGTAATCCCGAGTTGCCTGGAGAAGTTGAATGTCCAAATGCTGCCCAGGATAACACTCTAGAGAAAACCCCTTGTTTGGTAAATGCATGTAAGGATTTGATAGAGGTGCCGGTCAAACAGTCCTCATTAGACCAATACAACAAGAGGGTAAAATTGTCAATTCGTAATGGTAATCCTGTGCGCTCACATCCTTCAAAAAAGCTAACTGAAGGTAGTTCAGCAGAGAAGCCATCCTCAATTGCCAGTGGTCAGTTAAAAAATATTTCCAAGGAAATAACAAGTAAAGAAGCAGTCCCTGAGTTGTCCACTTCAAAGACTGGAGGTGCAGGAACTAGAGTCTTAAAAAAATCTTTGATCGGTGATCAGGCTTCTCCTAAGACCAAGAACCCTTTCTTGGAAAAGATAACAGTGAGTTAGATTTCTAATACTGAATTATTCATAAATGTTTTCTTCAGTTCTCCTTGTATTTGACCTTCTTTCTCCTAGATGGGTTAATACATTCTGATTTTTTTTGATAGAATACTTCAGATGGGATGAAGAGAAATTAATAGTATTGGCATGTTTCTTAGTGATCAGCTTTTGTTTATTTTCTTCTCCTCTTTATTTTAATTTTTTGGTTTAAGGTTTCTTTGAACAATTGATGTTTTGCTAAACTAGTTCCTATGTCTGGAGGCTTTCTTTGATGTTTCTTAGTGACCCTTTATTGAAGAATTTTGAATTGCACCTTGGATAGTGTTTTTTTGTATTATTATTATTATTATTTTTTAATTTTAATCTTATAGTAATATATGAAAGACTGTCTCTGTCTGAAGGGCAACCTCTGTGAGGCGGAGTTAAAAAGATCTTTTTGTCCCCTCAAACCCTGACTAATTAAAAACATCTTTTATACATGAAAATTGTGAAAAGTGGCTTGCTGGACATAATGAGGTTGATACTTCTTAGCGGGTTCTTTCAAGTGTTAAGGAAAGTCTTTTTTCAAGTGGGATATTCAGTGTGCATCACTTTGTTTGCAGCAAACTGCTTCGAATGACTGCTTATTCTGTCAACATCACCTTTCTAATTGGGTAATGATTATTGATTATTGACACTTTGGTTTTGTTGGTTCCATCAGTCAATCTTCCTGGTCAAAATGCTACTCCTGCTACCCATTGTTTACCAATGTTTTGCCTTATTCATGCAGAAAACTAAGCGACAGAAAGTTGGATCATTGGATGATCAACCAGGCAATCTTGTTAAAAGGAATGTAAGAGCTAGAAGATCTCCAAATAAGGGTCAAAAGGTTTTGGCAACAGGTATATGTGATCATTTATATTAGTCTGGCAGACTAGCTGTTGGATGTATTGTATGAAACAGTATGTTAAAGTTTCAGGTGAGGAAAATACAGGGACAGCTGAAGAAATTAAGAAGAATGATGATAAAACAAATGCAGTTGAAACGGCTCTCATTTTAGGGCTAAAAGCTCAAACAAGTGCTTGTCAAATTCCTGTGGAGGAATCAGAGAAACTTAAGAGGGATCAGAAAATTTTCAGTGATTCAGTCAGAGGCAATAGTGTGGTAAGCAACATTCTTGAGAAGTTCATGTCAAAGGAAAAGGCCTTTGTCTAGTAATGAGGGCTATGTTTCTTTAGCTTTTGGATGCATCCTGCTTTAATTATCCTGTATTTACAATATTTTGTCATTTTATCTATGTGAATAGCATTTAGATTGACTTTAGGGCCTCCATAGCTACATACTTTTGGTCAATCTATAACCCAATAATATTTTTCAAACCTTGTGTAGTATGTTTTGCTATGCTTAGTTCCTTATATTTTTTCCCCTTGTTTATTTATTGAGGAGGGATGCATTTACACATCAATCTTATACATTACACTTGTATAAAATTTTGACTATTTATCTCTTCAGTTTTAATGGTTGAGATTTATCATGACTTTTTAGGTGAAAAAGATAATTAATTTTAATAATTGTGCATATAAATCTCAACCATTGAAAGTGGAGAGATGAATGGTTGAGATTTTGTGTAAGTGTGGTGTGTAAAACTTGTGTGCAAGTGGATCCCTATTCTTATTTATTTATTTATTTATTATTATTATTTTATGTTGGATCATACTGATAAGCGGGAAACAACACAGCAAACAGGTGGTGGGAGCAGCCAAAGAAGAAAGAGGGGAAGACCACGCAAGTTAGGAGTTGTGAGTTCCAATGCTTCGGAGGCTGGTATGTTCTAACTCTTTACTCCATTTTTTTGGATAGACATATGCTGTGTATCAAGGCATCAACCAAGTATTATGCTTGTAGGTGACCAGCAAAATGGTGATGAAGGTGTTACAGATTATGCAAGTAACGGAGATGATTTGCCAGCTTACAAAGGAGTGGAGCTGATAGGTAACACAGGCTTCAATGCCAGACAACATAATTCTTTTGAGGCTGTTTTCAAAGCATCACAGAAGTAACCCAGAAGGTTTTACTTGGAGTGGTTCTCTATATGATTTTTTCCTCAGACTAAAGGAGGGATGGTATAACAGGGATGGTTACTGTGGAAAAAAATGAGATGCTGAAATATTTAGAGGAAAGTGAGGAAGAAAACAAAGAGAAACATAAAAAGATTTGACTTATGGAGAATAATCTTTCTGACTGGCTGCACACACCAATAAATGGAAAAAAAAAAATTTATCCACTCTTTTTTCACCACTCACCTGCATGCCAACCGCCAATGTTCTTGTGTATTTCTCTTTGCTTCTCTATGTAAAATTGGAGCCAAAGAAGAAATATTTTCTGTTCTCAGTTTATGGTTTCCTAGATTTCTTATCCTGCCAAACTAATGCCAAATTTTTTTTTTTTTAATAGCCTCTCAAGATGCATTTAGACAGAAGACAAGTGAAGTTTCAGTGAATGATTTCAAGATAAGGGAGGCTAAACTAACCATTGCTAGAGACTCAAACAGCATAGCTGATGATCAACCTCTATCAATGTGGATTGAAGGAATTCACTCTTCAAGCATTGAAGAATCAAGTAAGCTAACTTAATCAAATTCATGCAATCATGTTTTTTGGTACATTTGATGATAGGCTATAGAGAAGGGGACAGCCCTCCCCTTTTCAAATCCCTGCTAATCTGTCCCAAGATTCAAACATGAGACCTCCAACATGAAGGCTCAAGGTTTTAACCATTGGGGCATCCCCAAGGGGACTTGCTTTGAAGAAGTGTTTTGCTTGGTCATATTTATATTTGTTGAGTGTATTTGTTTTCTCTCTAGGAGTGTCTTTGGGGAGGACTGTCAATGGATTAAATGAAGCAAGAGAAGGGCTAGCTGATGTTGCAGAGATGTCTCTTGTAATTGATCCCAAAGATGGAAGTTTATTGCATGAAGATCAAAGTTTGCCTTTCATGAAGAAATCACCAATCTGGAAAACAATAGAATCTATGGATGTGTTCAATATGGTACCCCAGAAACCACATTTTCACCCTTTGACTGAAATGAAAGAAGAGTTTCGTGAGGGATCGGCAATTGGTATTATGATAACCTTTGCTGATTTGTTTGAGAAGATCTCCAAGTTGGAAATTGGTTTTCCTAGAAGCACTATCGACAGCATTTTGGAAAGTCTTAATGACTTGGAAAAACATGGATTTGATGTTACATTACCACAAGGTCGTTTGAATGAATTACTATCAATCAAAGATAGGCAAGCAAAGCTTCTAGAAGAGTTGAAAGATTCTGAAAAGGAGATCACAGAGAGTAGTAACAAGGTAACTAAAATGGGTGAAGAGGTTGAAGTGATTGAAAAGAAGATGGCAGAGTTAGCACAGCAAAGTTTGATGATAAAGTCGAAAATGGAGGCTAGGAATCTTGAGATTGCTAGCTTAAAGTCGGTTGGTGATGCTCTTAATGAACGTATTGAGGATGTGGCACATGATTTTGAGAAGACAGCTTCTGCCCCTTGGTCATGAGTGACATCGTTATGAAGCTTTTGGATTCTTGTACGTAACACCAGATCTTGTAGAGCCCAGGTGATAATTCAAAGTTGTTCAATTTGTGGATTAAAAAAAGTAGATGCTATTAGATAGTGTTCTTTTAATTTCTATCCAGCATGCCTTGTAGATTTTATCCTCATGATGCAAATGTTGCTTTAGGAATATTGTGTATGGTAAGCTGTGTATGGTAAGCAGTGTTCTTTCAAGCACCAAACTGAGTTGGCAGGGAGGTACATCCCTGGAGTAGAACTGCTGAATATTTCAAAACTTGTTGTAGATTTCATGTAGTGTAACATGTAGGTGCCTAACTACAAAGCGAGCAGAGATTGTTGTTACCTCATTTGCTATGTAAGATAAGTTTTTAATTTGGTATATCTCAAAAGAGAGGTGGCAAAGATGCACAGGCTCTTGATGGGTAGAACATAACCAGATGGAAGAAATATGGATGTAGGAAATTCCAATTTCTATTGGTTCAATTGTTGCCTGATAAGAGGTTATATGTAACTGGCCAAAACCCTGTTCTATTCTGTTGTCTGTATTTTTCTAATGTTTCATTAGCTAGCCATATTCGGTGGTGGCCAAACCTAACTTAATCTTGCCGATCACTGTGGCAATGGGATCCTGGATGGTTGCACTGGAGCTGGCTCGGATATATTCTGTTGCCAGCATTTTTGAATCATGGTGCTGCTGTCGATGTAAGTGGGTGGTGGACAGGCATCCTCAGTCTTAGGAGCCACCGCCGTGCTTATACCCAGCTCCCATTGCCTGGATCCCGCGCTTATTTTATTGTAAATTAATTTTAGATTTGATACAACTTGCAAGTTTTACGTTGAAACTTATATATCAATTTTTAAATAGTATTAGAGTACATGCTTTATTTTTTAGAGGTCTATTATTATCCTATTTAATAGAACTCAAAATTCATACTGTATCTATACATAAGGGGGTGTATTAAGTTATATGCAAACTTAATGCCTCCTTCCGAACTTGCAGGAGAGGATGTATTAAATGGACAAATCTTACGTTGAAGTATAATAAGAAATATATGGATCTAAAAATAAAGAGAATTATTTTATTTATTATTAATTAATTTTAAATTAAATATAAGTATTATGTTGAAATTTACGTGTCAATTTTGATAATGATTACTCAAGTTAGTTGATTATTGCATAATGTATACTTAATATTA